GATTCTAGGCTGCCTTGGTAGGAGTCTAGTGTTGAGATGTGTCCTGCTTAATTAAAGTGCTGCTTTAGTTAAGCGGTTTTACACAAGCTGGGTGTTTGTTTGGGTTCATCTCTGCCTGCGTACCGGCAGAGTCCTGGCATTGTGAGAGGTGGCGCCCTCTGTTTGGGAGGTGTTGACTGGCCCTTGATTGTTTGCTATCTGGAGTTCCCCTGTTTCATCTTTATATTTTATGTTTAGACTATGAAAACAGCCAGAAAGTAAGTAATTTGACACAAGCTGGGTGTTTGTTTTGGTTAATCTCCGCCTGTGTACCGACAGAGTCCTGGCATTGTGACAGGTGGCACCCTCTCTTCGGGAGGTGTTGACTGGCTCTTGATTGTTTGCTACCTGGAGTTCGCCTGTTTCATCTTTATGTTTTACATTTGGACTATGAAAACAGCCAGAAAGCACGTGCTGCTTTAAGTAAGCAGTTTTACATAAGCTGGGTGTTTGTTTGGGTTAATCTCTGCCTGCGTACCGTCAGAGTCCTGGCATTGTGAGAGGTGGCACCCTCTGTTTGGTAGCTGTTGACTGGCTCTTGATTGTTTGCTATCTGGAGTTCCCCTGTTTCATCTTTATGTTTTACATTTGGACTATGAAAACAGCCAGAAAGTAAGTGTTGCTTTAAGTAAGCAGTTTGACACAAGCTGGGTGTTTGTTTGGGTTCATCTCTGCCTGCGTACCGGCAGAGTCCTGGCAGAGTCCAGCTTGTGTAAGCAGTTTTACACAAGCTGGGTGTTTGTTTGGGTTCATCTCTGCCTGCGTACCGGCAGAGTCCTGGCAGAGTCCAGCTTGTGTAAGCAGTTTTACACAAGCTGGGTGTTTGTTTGAGTTAATCTCTGCCTGCGTACCGGCAGAGTCCTGGCATTGTGACAGGTGGCACCCTCTCTTCGGGAGGTGTTGACTGGCTCTTGATTGTTTGCTACCTGGAGTTCGCCTGTTTCATCTTTATGTTTTACATTTGGACTATGAAAACAGCCAGAAAGTAAGCGCTGCTTTAATTAAGCAGTTTGACACAAGCTGGGCGTTTGTTTGGGTTCATCTCTGCCTGTGTACCGGCAGAGTCCTGGCATTGTGAGATTCAACCTAGGCACAGAATATTATTTGAGAACACAGACATGCTGGACCACTTGGACAACCACCATCTCAGACAACACAGAGAAGCCACTGAAATCCTTAAGAAGCATGTGGACCATTTCAACAAAATGGAGGAAACCACGAACATGAACAAAATCTGGCAACCAGTATTAAAAATCACCAGAATCAAAAGTAAATAAGGAACACCACTCAGAAACGAGGGAACTCCAGACAGCAAACAACAAGTGCCAGTTAACACCTCAAACAGAGGATGCCTCCATGTAAGACGTCCAGCGGCCCTAGGTAATTTTCAACGGTAAGCAAACAGTATTTTGCCCCCCCCCAACCAATCATTGATATATATTTTCTGTTCGTCATGGGAGTTCTGTGTGCCATATTGGTTCAATTCCATCATTGGTGGAGTTCAGAATGCTCTTTGATTGTAGGTGAACTATACATCCCAGTAACTACACTTGCCGCACTTGCTCCCTTGCCTGGCCCGCTTTGGGTCTGGAGGCATGCCTGAAGACCCCAGCGTGTGCACCAAAAGTCACCTCTTCTCCTGACTTTCTCCTCAGCCATTGGGACCAAGAGAGAGAGAGAGAGGGGGTGGAGATGCCCACCTTTCCTGAAGGTAGGCGCAAAAACAAAGGAGGGAGCGGAGGTGGGAGATACCTCCAGCCGGAGGGGCTCTCTCTCTCTCTCTCTTGGTCCCAATGGCTGAAGAGAAAGTCAGGAGAAGAGGCGACTTTTGGTGCGCACGCTGGGGTCTTCAGACATGCCTCCGGACCCGAAGCGGGCCAGGCGCGGCGGCTCCACCCCTTGGCCCACCCGCGGATTGGGGAGAGGAGAGGAGGCGGGTGGAGAGCGGGGATCGGGAAAGGGAGCCGGTCATGGGGAAGGGATCGAACGCGGAGAATGATTGAGTGCTGGCTCTGCTCGCGCACCCGGTGGCCGGGTGGAGCAGGAACGAGAGGGGCGAGGTGAGGCTCAAGGGCCCGGCCCCTTTGGGAAGAGGATCGCCCGGCAGTGAGGCAAAAAAGCCGAGGCTCCCCCCGGACTGCTAGGGCTGTTGTGAGCGGAGGGGGCATTCCTCAAGTGGCGGCCGAGGGGCATTTACAGAGGCGCCACTGCGCCCCTGGCAAAAAAAAAGTGTTCTGCGACCGCTTACTTCGCGTAATGGACGAGCCGTCCCTGCCTGCCACGCAAACCGAGCCAGGCTCCCTCTATGCAGATACCCTCACTCGCAAACTTTGTGGCTACTCAATGTAATCAAGCTTGCTCCTCCCACCCTTGACAAACCAGAGCTGGAACGTCGTCAGACAGTCCAAGAGATTCACAGCAACCCATTAAAAAGATTGTCTGTATACATAGAGTTTGTTATTGCGGAGATGATTCGTATGAATGCACTTTGCTGCTCTCTAGGGTGTCAGACAGGGCGGTATACCACACTTATGGCGTGACATTAAGCCCCCCCAACCTCAAACCCCTTTGTCTTTCTAAATCTGTGCCCTCTCCACGGACGAAGGTTCTTCCCCATTTTTTCCCTCGGCTGGAGAATACGAGAACGGAAGGCGACATTCACGCTCACGAGGGTCAGAATGAGGAAACTCTGCAAAGCACTTTCCCATCAGCGAAAAGGAAATTGTTGCCTCAACAGACCAGGGAAACGCAAGGGGCTGCCTCTTGTGTTCTGCATTTCGGAACCTGAAATCGTAACGCAACGAAATATGGGAGACAACTGTGTTGGTTCAGCTGTACCAGAAGCTCCCACTTTATTTGCCTTGTATTAAACTAGCTGTACCCGCCACGCGTTGCTGTGGCCAATCTTCCCTCCCTCTTTCTCTCCTTCCTTCCTTCCCTCTTTCCTTCTTTCTTCCTTCTCTGTTTCTTTCCTCCCTTCCTTTGCTCTTTGGTTCCATCCTTCCTTGTCTCTTTCCTTCCTTCCTTCCTTCCTTCCCTTCCTTCTCTCCTTCCTTCTCTCTCTCTTTCCTTCCTTCTTTCACCTTTTTATTGCCTTCTCTCCTTCCTTCCTTCTCTATCTTTCTTTCCTTCCTTCTCTCCATTCCACCTTCTTTCCCTCTTTCTCTCCCTCCTTCTCTCCTTCTTCCTTTCTGTGTATGTGTTCATCCAGTGGTTTTTGTGTTATGTTAATCGTAAAATATATATGTGTGTGTGTATATATCTTTGACTGAGTTGATCTGGGAAATGAAGTAATGAGAAAGTGTTGGGTGTGTCCTCCTCATCGTATTCCTCCCGAGACCTCTGCGCATGCTCCGTGTTTTTAGGGTATTGTGAGTTTGTGTTGTTGCGTATTGGTGTTTTGAGGGTTGTTGGTCATACCTTGGGGGAAGAGGTATTAGCAGGCCAAATTTGGTGAGATTTCGTCCGGTGGTTTCTCCGTTTTTGACCGCCTAATTACGCCCTTAAGCTTCTTATATATATAGATGTAGATTTGTTTATTTATTATGAAGGCTTGGGATTTTGCAAGAGGGTGGCTTCCTGTCAAGGTTTGCAGTTATAGGGCAGGCCACCTGTCCATCATCATTAGGTTCCTTAGCACCCTTTTGGGTTTTGAGAAGGGAAGGGAGCCATTTTCAGTCAGTCACACACAAGGAAGCTAATCTATAGGACGTAGACAGCTCGTCCTGTAGGAAAAGCTTCATTCCTCAAGATCATCCGGGGACCATCCGGTGATCATCAGGGAATCATTCAGGGAAATAGAAACAGAAGGAAAAGATCCCAAAGGCTCTGGCTGAGAGCTCACAGCCTCTCAGCCTCACAGCACCAGAGGGGAAAACAGCCCTGAAATTCCCACAGGACAGCATTACAGAACCACGGAATTCCAGATGAAATATCTTCAAGCTTTGGCTGGTAGGTTTACTCGATGTCCAGATGCATTTGGGATCGGTAGTAAGACCCAACGGTAAGCAAACAGTATTTCCTTCCCCCCCCCCTTCCAACCAATCACTGATATATATTTTCTGTTCGTCGTGGGAGTTCTGTGTGCCATATTTTTTTCAATTCCATCATTGGTGGAGTTCGGAATGCTCTTTGATTGTAGGTGAACTATACATCCCAGTAACTACAACTCGCATATGTCAAGCTCTATTCTGTAGGCGTGCCTGAAGACCCCGGCGTGTGCACCAAAAGTCACCTCTTCTCCTGACTTTCTCCTCAGCCATTGGGACCAAGAGAGAGAGAGAGAGAGAGAGAGGTGGAGATGCCCACCTTTCCTGAAGGTAGGCGCAAAAACAAAGGAGGGAGTGGAGGTGGGAGATACCTCCAGCCGGAGGGGCTCTCTCTCTCTCTCTCTCTTGGTCCCAATGGCTGAAGAGAAAGTCAGGAGAAGAGGCAACTTTTGGTGCGCACACTGGGGTCTTCAGACATGCCTCCGGACCCAAAGCGGGCCAGGCGCGGAGGCGGGTGGAGCGCCGGGGGATCTGGAAAGGGAGCCAGTCATGGGGAACGGATCAAACGCGGAGAACAATTGAGCGCCGGCTCAGCTCGCGCACCCAGTGGCCGGTGGAGCAGGAACGAGAGGGGCTAGGCGAGGCTCAAGGGCCCGGCCCCTTTGGGAAGAGGATCGCCCGGCAGCGAGGCAAGAAAGCCGAGGCTCCCCCGGACTGCTAGGGCTGTTGTGAGCTGAGGGGGCGCTCCTCAAGTGGCGGTCGAGGGGCATTTACAGAGGCGCCTTTGCACCCCTGGCAAAAAAAGTGTTCTGCAACCGCTTACTTTGCATAATGGACGAGCCGCCCCTGGGTTTACTCGATGTCCAGATGCATTTGGGATCGGTAGTAAGACCCAGACCAGCGAGGCCCAGATGATAGACAGCCTGGGAGAGATTATAAAGGGTTCTTCCTCATGCTGAGAAAGTACAGTTAATCCAAGTCAGTGCCAGTCTCTTAAAGACTAGAATAAGCCTTGAAGTGTTGTTTGAAGATTTGTTATTTGTTCCTTAATAAAGACTTTGTTGTACCATTAAAGACTCTAAAGACCATCACTTCAGGAAATCCCTAAGAATCTCTCTTTGAGGCACCCCGGCTTCCCACTGGGTTTAAAGTATACGTCCTATAGAATAAAGACAATTTGTTGAGACCAATGCGCGACAGGACAACAACGGAGTATGTGGCCTTTGGAGACCCTTCCCACTCGAGTGGGAAGGGTTTTCTTGGGGATCTGTTGGAGTCTCCTTCTCTGGAGGCTGAATGGCCACCTATCAGTCAGGCAAAAAAATGGCTTACCCCAAGGGATTAGTAAGAACATCAGCCCTGGCCTTGTCTTACTCAACTGCCGAGTATGCCTGCCCTGTTTGGCATAGGTCTGCCCACGCAAAGCAGGTGAATATAGCATTGAATGAAACATGCAGAATAATCACAGGATGTCTTAAACCTACACCTGTTGATAAACTCTCATTGAATGAAACATGCAGAATAATCACAGGATGTCTTAAACCTACACTTGTTGATAAACTCTCATTGAACAAAACACGCAGAATAATCACAGGATGTCTTAAACCTACACCTCTTGATAAACTCTCATTGAATGAAACATGCAGAATAATCACAGGATGTCTTAAACCTACACCTGTTGATAAACTCTCATTGAATGAAACATGCAGAATAATCACAGGATGTCTTAAACCTACACCTGTTGGTAAACTCCCATTGAATGAAACATGCAGAATAATCACAGGATGTCTTAAACCTACAACTGTTGATAAACTCCCATTGAATGAAACATGCAGAATAATCACAGGATGTCTTAAACCTACACCTGTTGGTAAACTCCCATTGAATGAAACATGCAGAATAATCACAGGATGTCTTAAACCTACACCTGTTGATAAACTCTCATTGAATGAAACATGCAGAATAATCACAGGATGTCTTAAACCTACACCTGTTGATAAACTCTCATTGAATGAAACATGCAGAATAATCACAGGATGTCTTAAACCTACACCTGTTGATAAACTCTCATTGAATGAAACATGCAGAATAATCACAGGATGTCTTAAACCTACACCTGTTGATAAACTCTCATTGAATGAAACATGCAGAATAATCACAGGATGTCTTAAACCTACAACTGTTGATAAACTCTCATTGAATGAAACATGCAGAATAATCACAGGATGTCTTAAACCTACACCTGTTGATAAACTCCCATTGAATGAAACATGCAGAATAATCACAGGATGTCTTAAACCTACAACTGTTGATAAACTCCCATTGAATGAAACATGCAGAATAATCACAGGATGTCTTAAACCTACACCTGTTGGTAAACTCCCATTGAATGAAACATGCAGAATAATCACAGGATGTCTTAAACCTACACCTGTTGGTAAACTCCCATTGAATGAAACATGCAGAATAATCACAGGATGTCTTAAACCTACACCTGTTGATAAACTCTCATTGAAATGAAACATGCAGAATAATCACAGGATGTCTTAAACCTACACCTGTTGATAAAATCTCATTGAATGAAACATGCAGAATAATCACAGGATGTCTTAAACCTACACCTGTTGATAAACTCTCATTGAATGAAACATGCAGAATAATCACAGGATGTCTTAAACCTACACCTGTTGGTAAACTCTCATTGAATGAAACATGCAGAATAATCACAGGATGTCTTAAACCTACACTTGTTGATAAACTCTCATTGAACAAAACACGCAGAATAATCACAGGATGTCTTAAACCTACACCTCTTGATAAACTCTCATTGAATGAAACATGCAGAATAATCACAGGATGCCTTAAACCTACACCTGTTGATAAACTCTCATTGAATGAAACATGCAGAATAATCACAGGATGTCTTAAACCTACACCTGTTGATAAACTCTCATTGAATGAAACATGCAGAATAATCACAGGATGTCTTAAACCTACACCTGTTGATAAACTCTCATTGAATGAAACATGCAGAATAATCACAGGATGTCTTAAACCTACACCTGTTGATAAACTCTCATTGAATGAAACATGCAGAATAATCACAGGATGTCTTAAACCTACACCTGTTGATAAACTCTCATTGAATGAAACATGCAGAATAATCACAGGATGTCTTAAACCTACACCTGTTGAAACTCTCATTGAATGAAACATGCAGAATAATCACAGGATGTCTTAAACCTACACTTGTTGATAAACTCTCATTGAACAAAACACGCAGAATAATCACAGGATGTCTTAAACCTACACCTCTTGATAAACTCTCATTGAATGAAACATGCAGAATAATCACAGGATGCCTTAAACCTACAACTGTTGATAAACTCTCATTGAATGAAACATGCAGAATAATCACAGGATGTCTTAAACCTACACCTGATGATAAACTCTCATTGAACGAAACATGCAGAATAATCACAGGATGTCTTAAACCTACACCTGTTGATAAACTCTCATTGAATGAAACATGCAGAATAATCACAGGATGTCTTAAACCTACACCTGTTGATAAACTCTACAAGCTAGCTGGCACCCCCCCCCCCGATGTGCGATGGGAAGTTGCTGCTAAATGTGAGAGAAATAAGGTTGAACCTTGTGAAAGCCACCCACTACATGGCTACCAGCCTCCTCCCAGTAGACGCAAATTAAGGAAAAGCTTTATGAGAACTACCACTCCTCTTGGCGTCCCTCCAGCAACAGCGCGAATATCCCTCTGGGTAGCTAAACCAGGAAATCTGAACTGGATGGCCCCCCATGAGAGAGAGTCTTCCTTCAGGGGCAAACCAAGAATGGGCAACTCGGAAGTCCCTGAATAGACGCAGAAGCCGAGTGGGCAGATCAAAAGACAACCTGACAAAATGGCGCTACTAAAAGAATCCCACACCTTGTGTGACTGTGGAGCAGAACAGACAACTCCGCATCTGTATGCTTGTCCACTGTGCCCTGCCTCATGTACAGAGGAGGAATTGTTGGAGGCTACAGACAATGCCGTTGCTGTTGCCCGTTTTTGGTCAAAAGATATTCTATTTTTATCAGTTTTATACTAATTTCTGCAATGCTTTTGATACGAAATAAATAAAGTAAGGTTTGGATTGTGACTTCTTGTCTGGCAGACTGGAGATGCAGGAGATGCTAGGGTGTCTCCCAATTAGTTCAGCGTTTTTAGCAGCTATCCTAGCTGAATGCCATCTGTGCTCTCTCTCTTTTCGCCACCCCCAGAGGGAAGAAGAAACTTTGGCAAGAGGCCCATCTCACTGTAGGATTCCCATCTCACTGTAATATTCTGTTGCTTTCAAGCCTAGCTAGACTGATTTCCTATAAGCTTTCATTCAGCCAACCTCCTTCCCTAGGGGCAGATTACAAATGGTCACTCTCAGTTATTGACTTTTTGGTCTCTACAAACTCCATCTATAAGGAATTTGCCAGTCTTTGAAGCATTTCAGCTACCGAGTTGGGACTGTACTGTACCCACCCAGCCAGTGGTTCCCAAGTCATTGAAACCATTCTGGATTTTAGTCAGAACTTGAAACGAGAAGGGGTTGCTTACACGGCAAACGTTTGTCCAGTCTGGGAGGCAGGAGTCCCATCCAACGTCTGGACGCTGATCGCTAAGGGGTTGTCACAGATCTTGTTCGGATATTCTTTCCTGAGATCGACGATGAGTTCGTAGTCTCCCTTTCCCGAAGGGTCATCCCGATCAAACCAACGGGTTGTGCATCCTAAAGGAGAAATGGAATAAGGATGAGAATTGGAAAGGAAAATGTAACAAGCAGGCACAGGAGGGGAAAGTTTGAACGGCATCTCAGTTTTGCGTGGCACTTTCTACTATTCACCCGGAAGGGTGTATTGATCAAATAAACCTGTTGAACGGTCTCCTTGTCTCCTTGTGTTTGAAAGGATAAAAGCACCTTGGAGGTTTTGAGGCCATTTCATAGAATCATAGAATCATAGAATCATAGAATCATAGAATCATAGAATCATAGAATCATAGAATCAT